TATATATATATATATATATAAAGAGAGAGAGAAATATATTTTTTTTTTTCTTTCTCTCTTTATTTTATATATATATATATATATTTTTTTTTTTTTTTTTTTTATATATATATATATATATATATATATATATATATATATATATATATATATATATATATATATATATATATATATATATATATATATATATATATATATATATATATGTATATTTGTAATTTTTAACTCTACAGCAAAAAATTTAATCTAAGACCATAGTCATAAACAAAATGAACTAATACAATTAAATTTAGTTCTCTTAAAGATAACTCAAGTATCTTAAATAATATTTTATTTCTCTCTTTTTTTATATTAATACTTGATATTGTTATTTTCTTTAGGGGAGGGTCACAACAGAAGCTGAAATGAAAGGAAAATCAATTCATTCATTCTGTTTTATTTCATTTGTATTGGCAGCACCAAACCTTCAGCAGACGGTCAGCATTCATTCCCACAATGCATCTCTCTAAGGAGAACCTCAGTCTTTCATGAGGCTCATTTATTCAGCCTCAGTCCACACTCACTGCAGATCCTCAAAGCAGGACATGATCAGACAAACCCAGCTCTCCCCAGAGGAATGCAGTGTTTCCTCTCCAGTACATCAGTGCTTTGAAGAGTCAATTACACATAACTCTTTCTAATAAATAAGGTCTGCTAAGAGATGAGCCAAACCAGACTAATGTGGACAAGATAAATTAAGGGCAAAAGATGCATCCTTGCTATTCACCACCATTCATCCACATAAAGAACAAGTGTATGTAGAAACTTGTAATGTTTATCTGCAAACTAAAGCATTACATGTGTGACTACAAGTGGGAAAAGATATTTTTTTGTCCAGGTGATCTCGTACAACCTCTACAATATTCAGATCTGGACTCTGAGGAGGCCATTTCATGACTGTCTGTGTTTCATCCGCTGTTTTCTTTCTCTAAATATGATTCCACTGCAATTAGAGGACTATTATCATGTTGAAAATAAACACTGTTACTACTGAAGTTATTTCCAGAAGGACTGACATAAGGGATTAAATAGATCTTTACTTTTTAACATTCACAATTCTGTTAATTTAGACAATATTGCTAATAACACTGATTGAAATGCAGCTCAAACCAGCTCAAAACTCCCATCCTAACAAATCATACATCAATTTATAATCTATTACATCAATCATAAATTTTTAATCATGTATAAATCTATCTATCACCCGGAGGAAACCCATGCGAATGCAGGGAGAACATGCAAACTCCACCCAGAAACTCCAACTGACCCAGTTGGTCCGGTTTCCCCCCACAGTCCAAAGACTTGCGGTGCAGGTGAATTGGGTAGGATAAATTGTCTTTCAAGAGTTCACACTTAGCTGATGATTAACAAAGCTTATTTGGCATGCTGTCCCGGGAGAGAGCCCCGAGCTCAAGGGCTCCTCGAGCCCGGGGCTTCCTCCCGTTGGCAGAGCAAGAGGAGAGCCCGAGCTCGGTGGATCTCAGAACTCCCCTGCCGCTGTAGCTAAGGGAACGTAAGGGATTAGACAAGCTTGATTGTTATGTATGTTGAATGTCTTTGGATGGTGGGAGGAAACCGGAGAACCCGGGGAAAACCCACGCGGACACGGGTAGGACATACAAACTCCTCACAGAAACACCCACCGGTCCTGTGGAACTAGGGCTGGCAGTGTTCTTGCTGTGTGGCTCACAGTGCTAACCACTGGACCGCCGTGCCGCCCAATCACAGGTAAAGGAGGAGAATAGGGGAGGAGGGGGGTTTCTTCCAAACGAAGATAAAATGAACTGAAAACTGAGGCTATTTATAGTGGCTTAGGGCTCATATGATTGGAAGATTAGTGATTAGCAAATGCGAGACCGGCCGTGATAAATCATAAGCACGTGATCCTCTCCAAATTAGTTTATGAATAAACTTCACGTAGTGTATGAGTGTGAATGTGTGTATGTGAATGTTTCCCAGAGATAGGTTGCGGCTGGAAGGGCATCTGCTGCGTAAAAACGTGCTGGATAAGTTGGCGGTTCATTCCGCTGTGGCAGCCCCGGGTTAATAAAGGGACTAAGCCGAGAAGAAAATTAATAAATGAATGTTTGATTTGTTGTAAGGTGCCTATTTTGATTTTCTCAGACAAATTAAGGTAAGAGCACAAAGGTCTCTCTCTCTCTCCCTCACACACACACACACACACACACACACACACACACACACACACACACACACACACACACAATCAGGCCCGGATTGGCTAATCGGGAGGACCGGGAGAATTCCCGGTGGGCCGGTCTGTTTTTTGGCCGCGAGGGCCGGGGTCCCTAGCTGCTTGCACTCTGAGCAGTCACACTTTTTTCTTCTATTTATTTATTTGACCATAGCTTTACTCTTTTTAATCATTATTTTGCCGCAGTGCCTCTCTTTTTATTTTTTTTCTCGCAGCCCTGTCAGAAAAATGCAGTCTGCAGGTTAACTAACGTTAATGATGATGATGTAATGTAACTGTCGACCCCAAACAGCGGCACCTTAGTGAATATAAGAATTCGAATAAAATGAATAATACACCTGCTCAATGAAAATCAAACGATTCACTACATTAATAAATCTGACATAACTGACTTGATCAGAAATCTAAAAATAGGAGAAAAAGATTGAGCCATCAAAAGAAAGTAGTGCTGTGTCTTAGGGGTCGCAAGTCATTAGTTATTTTTTACTTGAATTATAATGGCGCCAATGTGGTCCAGTGGTAAGCACATTGCGTTTCAATGTCACGGATCGGGATCGATTCTCCCGTGTAAAATCTTTTTTTTTTTTTCGATTTTATTGTTAAGACATAAAATACTGTTAGGGCTGTTGAACATTTGAATTTCTAAAGCAGCAGTTTTCTTGAAAAAGACGTGATAGTGCCATTAGAAACTGAATTGGAATCAGTCGTGAACTGAGGTGGGCCGGTCTGGTTTGAAACTCCAGGGCTGAAAATGAGTCCCACTCCGGCCCTGCACACAATACTCTATATAAAAGCTGGAAACTAAGCTTGTTTTGCCCTGCAACTTGTGATCAACAGGGTTTAGCTTTTGCCAACAGAGAAACCCACCAACAACAGAGGTACATAATAATATGGTGTCATGCATTGCAATCCAAAAAAGTCATTATGATGGAAGTCAATGGGGCAAAAACAGTGATGAACATAACGAAAGGTTAGTCAATTTGCTCAGTGTACTGTTGAGTTTTTGAACATTATCCCAAAATGCATGTCAAAAATAAGATTTGTCGTCAAAAATCATTCCTTTTGCTGAAACACAGGAAAAGTTGTGGCCAAATTAGGACTCAAAACCCTCTCAGAGTGGATGAGAACATCCCCAACAGCACACAAGGGTTACTAATACAACCTTATAAAGTGTTACCACTAACATGAATGTTATTTTGAAGAGTCACCCTACTTTCCCCTATTCACCTGCAGTGCATCTGAACCCCCTGTCCGGCAGCTGCAGGTGAAGCATGAATCTGCAGCAGATCTCCGTGTTGTTCAGCGCATGTAAATACCCCTCAGGAGGGCCGCGTTGGATGCTCATTGACAATGGTGGTCTGAAAGTGAGCCAGCGGATGGGAATATGAGGACGTCCTCACTCAACAGCCTGCCGTCCTTCTGCCATCACACCAACATATGATACAGGCATCCAAAGCCCCCTACAACGCTCCACGTCCACACAGGTACCAAAACAACAACTGTGGGTGGGCTTCATAGTTAAAGGGGTCCAATTATGTTTTTTAGACTTTAAAAAAAAACACAAATCACTGCAGAAGGAATTGTTTTCATTCATTTTTTATAGCTATATAGGTCAAGAAAATTTATTTTCCGTCAGTCTTAGTACATGATGTAACCACAGAAGAGTCAAGCTTTAAATAGGAAACTTGTCAAAACTCTTTGGTCATTTTTGAGCGAGATGCTAATGGTCTAATCTGATTCAA